AAAAAAAAAAACTGAGAAACCTCTTTTGTTCATTTTGTGTTTGGTCGTCCTTCTGCTGAAGATGTTTAGTGATGTCTCCTGATCACTGTTACTGGGTCAGTGTCCTACTCCTTGTCTTCCAGTTGCTGGGGAGACTCTTTGGTTCCCATGGCAACAACCCTTCTGTCAGCCTTAAGAAAAATTATGCAAGAACAAAAGTTTAAATATCACATGGATAACACTGGAATTTTAAATGTCCAAAAAAAAAAAAATAAAAAAAAAAAAACGGGAAATACTTTGTGTTTTTTTTTCATTTTCTGTGACAATGCAAATTGTGTGTAACAGATGTCAGCATTATGGGTTGGGCCTTCAGTCTGTGGGGAGGAGGGGGGGGGGACTCTTGGTCAGCTGTTTTAAAATGGCTGCCCCCATATCACCTTTTTTGCATTTTAGCAGGTATGAGGTTCGGTTGTTTTGGACTGCTGTCAGTTTCACTAGCATGACTAAGTCGTCAAATAAACATTCATTTACGAGTAACTTATGCTCCTCAAAATAATAGAACTATTTTCTATACCTGGGTGCAATGTAAAATGCAGCAAAATGCACACGTCTCTGGTTTGTGTTATGCTGCCACCCCGTCAGTTTTCTGAAGGGTGCTTAGGATGGCGCTCTTACCTGGGTTTCTGCCTGCTCACGCATGTCAGGTTAAAGTTTGAATTACTTTGCCATTCAGATTTGATACCTTGGTTAGGCTACTGTGCCTTTTTTGTGGGTATGACACGGCATGGAGAATAGCAGGCACTGTTAATGTCTTTTTTTAAATAGGTGATGTCAAAAGAATTCCATTATTAAGACGGTTTATATAATTGGATTTTAAAGCTTTTTAAGGAGGATGCAATGAAGGTATACATATAGTGTAATGCTTATTAGCAGGGAACTGGGACCTGACCTTTGCAGAATGTAACTTGAAGGGTCCTCTGACAAACAGCACAAGCTTTGGTAATGGGGACATTACTGCTGTATACGGAGTTTATTTCTCTTATTGGGTGGGGAAGGGAATGAAGCTTAAAAGCAGCAGTTAAGATTTTCCCAGAGGGTTAGACCTAAATGAGCAAGACCTGCGGAACAACCCTTTACGTCTGTTATGCTTTGAAAATTTGTGACAGGATTTAGCATTGAGTCTGGTCTCATTGCTGTATGGACGTCAGGAAGAACTGCAAATACGAGTTTATACTAAGATATATGAGCTTCAGCAGTCATACTTCACCTGTGTCCAGCAGTATTACACTTGTATTTGTATTTGTTATGCTGCACATTTTAAAAGTTGAAGCAGTAACTAATGCATTTATAAATGTTTTATACTGACATATGTAAAGTTTAAAAAAAACCTCCCCGTCCCGCGTGGAACCCCAGAATAGTTAAACTTCCCTTAACTTTTCCTATTCATTTTGAATGGTACTGCTCAATAATGCGGGTGTAATATTCTTTTGGCCACTGGCTGATGTTTTTGCGCTGTTTCGACGCTTCCGAAGACCTTTACCTTAGTCAGCACTGTCAGGCGACCGGACACTGATGTTGGAATTCAGAATAACTACTGGAACTAATATTAATATTGCAATGAATCTGGTGATTCACCTAAAAACCCGGCACTAATCGAACGGAAAGGACAGCTCTCCAAGGTAAACTGCACAGTAATCTTACATCGTAATATTTTAGAAAGTATTTTAACGTTGCTGAATATAACTTATAGTTATCTGTCATTCGCTAACTTGTTCGGCAGTTAAAACGCGATGTTTGACGGAATTACTTATTGATCCATTTATTAATCTAGACAGTGTCGATTTATGGAAACGAGCGATTTTGTAGTTAACGAGGACACTGGTCGAGTAGAATGAGTCTATAAGCAGATTACAAAATAAATGGGATTACTGTTTTATAAACTAACGTTACACTAATGCTGCACTTTCCTGTACAAGATACTCTGACGTTAACTTGCCTCTCAATAAAGGATATTTGACTACAACTTATTTTACTCATCTTGTTTGCTGCCATTATAATTAACTTAGATATTAAGAATTCCTCGAATAATTAAGTAATAAACTCACTAAAATTATTCATGGAAACTTTGTTTAAAGCTATTACTTTACTACCAACTAATAACGCTACTAGATACACGCCAGTTTACAGAAGTCCTGCTCATAAATTCCATGCCCTTCTGTGTTTCTTTACTCCTGTCACTGTAGATTTAGAAGTTCTTCCCGGGGAAGGTGACGTTGTGCTTCCGGAGAGGATCGAGATGCAGCGTTGGTCAGCGGAGGAGCCAAATAACACATTACCTGCTACTTCAGAAGCAGTGCTAATCGTAAACATTATATTTTTACATATGCACTCTGTCCAGTTTATTAGGACCACTTGTGTGTGTGTACATATGTGTATACTCATTTCAAATGTACGTTATAGCTGCACTTTTTAGGTTTCCAGTCACGGACTGTAGCCTGTTCTGCTATTATGTACAGCCCGTGGTCAGCAGAGTGAACCCACCATTGGGCCCTTAACCCCAACTGCCCCAGGGACTGGCTGACCCTACAGTCTCCTCTACGCCAGATCCATGCGGTGCCTCCTGGGATGCTTTCCCAGCTGTCCCGGAGGTCCCACATATATGCTGAACACTCACTGGCCACTTTTCCTTCACTGACTGTTTTTGAAACCTGGCAGTATCACTGTTAGTATTGTCACAGCATAATATTTTTTAATTATGGGTTTTGTCTTGATTTTGCTGATTTGTTTAGGAATTTATGAGCAGGACTTCTGTAAACTGACGTGTATATTTAGTAGCTTTATTAGCTGTTAGTGTGCATGAGTCCTTTGTTAACATGCTATGAAATGCCATAACCCTGCCATCTAAGACAACGCATCATTCCAGCTGTTAGTATTCAACATACCTTCTTATCTTCCTATCCCTGTGTATGAGAACCCGAGCATCTGTATCTTTCTATGTAAATAATCTCAATAAACAATGCATTTGAGTAATAACTGTCTGTTTAATAAACACGTGATGGCGCTTATTACACCTGTATCACTGCAATCACACACACTGGCACTGCCCACCGTGCTCATCGCCCCGTTTACTCCTCATACACACGGTGGGCGCGCACACATACACACACTACGTACACGATAAACATCAACTACTATACATGACATAACACATAGCACATTTATAATCACACAAGCGATTACTGAGAACTATTTACAATCTGGCATCAGTCCAACATGCCGTGCTGCCCGCCGGTATCTCCGCGCTACAATATAATTTATAGACTTTTTTCCAAGGTAATCGATTGGCTGGTAAGACAATTATAAACAAGCGATTATATTCAATGGTCAGTTGCCTCTTCAGATCTACTGTTAAACTCACGTGCGGGAGCGTTGGTGGTATAGTGGTTAGCATAGCTGCCTTCCAAGCAGTTGACCCGGGTTCGATTCCCGGCCAACGCAGCTGTTCTTTTTGAAAATTTAGTTTGTTTTTTCCACATAATAATGTATACATTTTAGAAAAGCTAGACACTCGAGCGGCTCGTTGGTCTAGGGGTATGATTCTCGCTTTGGGTGCGAGAGGTCCCGGGTTCAAATCCCGGACGAGCCCGTCTCTTTATATTCCCTTAGGAATACTTTACATAATTAAATGCATTGCAACCAAAAGCAGTTTCTTACTAGAAATGGATCCGCTGTAATGACGCAGATATATGCAGAAGTTTCTCTTTTCTGTTGCGTTATACCTAAGGTATAAGTTTCATGTGTGGGTTTGAGGGATAAAATCACATGGCCCGTACGGGGATCGAACCCGCGACCTTGGCGTTATTAGCACCACGCTCTAACCAACTGAGCTAACCGGCCGCCGTTCGTCATTAATGATAGATCCTATGGTCAATTAGTGTCACTAGATGGCGGTAAAGTTCTGTGTTTCCAGCGTGCTTTGCATCTGCCGTATACATTAGCGTAAAAGCAGCATAGAAATTGATACGGAATCAGCTAGTTAAACTGCAAGGAAAGTAGAATTAACTGCTGTATTGTTACTTAGTCTTAGTACTTATTCCCAATAAATAACTTTTGACCTGGTCATTTTTCATTTGCTGCGTCTACAAGCGTTTGCGTTCTGTATGGCTCGTTGGTCTAGGGGTATGATTCTCGCTTAGGGTGCGAGAGGTCCCGGGTTCAAATCCCGGACGAGCCCAAATTTTCACATGACACCAGACACGTTTTTTTTTTTTCCGGAAGATTATGTGACTATAATAACCTTCCGTGGCTGTTGCATTTTTACAAAAAGAACTAAGGAGTATGTCATCTACTCATATTCCAACTGCTTATCCTGGTCGGGCATCGTCGGGGGGGAAATAGATCTGACTGAAAAGTTGAAAATCTTATAAAATTAGAGCGATCATACATACATAAATTAATAAATAATTATGCACTTTTCACCCTAACAATGACTATGTTTTACTATATCTGGTAATTCTGTAAAGATTTGTGAACTACTTAGGGAACTATTTAAGCGACAAGTAATTAATAACTCAAGTGAAGCACTGATCTCATGTTTGTTCATCATTAACTTTTATCTCAAGTTCATGATTTGTACTTCAGTAGTAACTGAGTATTTGTGCCCCATCAAGTAAAGTGTTACCAAAGTGACACACAACTGGTTGAGTTATAACTTTAATACTTTCAGCTTCCTGAGCGTGAACAGACACACATTTCACACGATTCTTATAGGCATCAGCATCCTAATAGGACCCTTTGGGTTAGTCCATCAGAGATGAGTCCCGATCTGTACAGGTTTTAGCAGGCCTGTTTTGGTTTGTCCTGTTCCGAGTTTTCAGTCGAGTTGTGGTTAGTTTTTTCTCGATCGACCGTTTGAAGTCCAAATTGGTAGAGTTGAACGCGTCACATCCCATACAAGTTTTAGCAGGAATGGTGGAGTTTCAAGATTTAGGTCGAGGTACAAGTCGGAAAAAATTCAACAGACCCGTTCGATGTCAGGGTTGGTCGAGTTAAGAGGTGTTCGAGTTCCAAGGTCCCACTGTGTATCAACTTCCTTAGAGGAATTAAAGAACATTTATGGGAACTGCTGGGTTATCTCCTTATCTCCTAACCCCCTTCACCTTTGCTACTGGCCAAGCAACCCACACATATTTAAAAAAAAAAAAAACTGAAGACAAATATTAACTTTGCTAGGACAGACCTTTTCATGTCACCCCGGTTGGTGTTCAGCTAAGGAACAGTTGCCTTAACACTTTTAAAGTATATATTTACAAATAATTGATATGACAGTTCACTCCGTCCTGGTATCTGAGCAAAGTCCATATGCTCTAACGATACAATCTTGATGTGTCGATATGTCCATAGCCACCTGCGAATACCTGCTCTAAGGCTGATTTCTGTTGACACAAGGCGGTTTCCTAGAAACATTCATAAAGCATTTAACCGGTTCCTCCTGCACACCGCAGAAAAACGTTCAGCTAACATACGGTGACAGCGACCCAGGACAACCGCTGAGCATCGCATGTAAGTCACCAATGACCATTTTTTTCTCTCACTCTGAAGATGAGAATTTGCAAGATACCCACTCTGATGCCCACATCATGAGAGTTAACAGAGATTTAAACACGTTTTTAAATGATAAAATGTCATAAATGTTCCTTCCTTGGCTCATGTCAAATTAACCGTGTTTTACACCAACCCAACTGTGGTTATGAAAGGATTGAGAATCTCATTAATTACGATTTTCCGTCTAAGTCAGCTGCTGTCATTTCGGTAGATGTACTGTCACTTAACTAACCTAATGAACTTCATTCATTTCAGGTTGTCTTGCGACAAAAATGGCCTTGCTTGACTGCCTCTCTCGTACTCAAAAAATAATACTAGCTATCTTGTGTTTTCCTCTGCTCCCGTTCTACCTGTGCTATGTGTGTAAGTAACCTAATTATTACTTTGAGATTAACAAGGATCTGACTTAGTAAGCTTAAGGGCTATAAAAAAAAACTAAAAGAGAAACTTCAAACATAGGTGGTTGTAGACCCTGTTTCGGGGGCTTAAGATGCTCTATTTTTTATTATCTCAGTTCCCCTTAAAAATTAAAATTCTAAATCCATTTAGCAACTTGTTGCATTTTTTCATACACATTTCATAGCCTTCCCCCCAGCTCAGTAAATTTTATCGTGGGTGGTGTCCTGTACTTCTTTGAATGTGGCTACCCTACAGGTCAAATCCTAGGATTTCCCCTGGTTAAGACTAGCAAATAGTGATTGATCCCAGCTAACTACTAGTGTGTCGCTACATCTGCGCCACGATATTACTGTGCCTGTGACCTTCCGTTGGTCTTTTGTGTTTGTGTGTGTGACTTTTAGAGAACTGTATATTGTTCTTGTGGGTGTATCTGCCCAGTATCGTGCCACAAATGCTGACCATGTGTGGTGTCCCTGCTTTGGTTACGTCACTGCTGATGAACCCCCGGTGATGTCGTCTCAGGCTGCTGTTCCTCTGATGAAGATGGCGGAGAGGCCAAGGCGAGTCAGAAAGGTGACCTAAGTAAGTGACGTTGGGGTGACTGTGTAACTGTAGAGAGACCGCAGGAGGAGACTCGTGGAGCTTTTCCACTGCCGCCAAGAACCGAACTGCACCCGGGCCGTATCACCAACTGGAAGTATGCCAGCTGGAAGTCAGCTGCAGCTGTGAAATCACCATCTGATTGGTCGAAATGCACGGTGATACCGGTGTCCTGTGCATGGATCATCTGAAGGAAAAAGCCTATATTCTATATATTATTAATTATTAGTAGTGTCGCACATTGAGACCGTGATTCCTGATAATGCGAAACTTGATTTTACATCACTGTCATTCTTCAAACCCAGTAACGCCTTTACGGAGCCGTCCCGGGCCAGAAACGTGCTGTGACTAGTTTCTATTCGCCGTACACTATGGCTTGGTTCCTGTTTGCCAGTGGAAAAGCACCATTAGTGTCTCTGTCCTTCACGCTGCTCTTGGCTTCACTTTATGACAGCACTCTATGCTTGGGCGTGTCGCAGGGCGAGCGGAAGAGGCCAAAAACGACGCAGTGGATGGTCATGGGGTCAAAGGTCGGGGATGAATGTCAATGCATTGGACTTACTTTATGGGGATTTCAGAATATGCCAGAAATTCACATCCTGTGTCTATTTTTGTTCCCCATGTCCTCTATAGTCACAGTCAACATTCAGCCAAGCCCAAGAACCCTGCCAAGGAGCACTGCCACTCAAAGAGGTGATTCTGTGTCCCAGAACCAAAACCAGCAGCTACAAAGCATGACAGCTCCATAAGCATGTCTGTATGGATGACAATCAGATGTTTTGCATTTGTGTCCTAGAACAGACAGACAAGAGTGTGGAGTGTAATGTAAATGGGAACAGGGAAGTGGGTGAGAAAAATACCTAATTATTTAGCCCTTTTGACCTATCAGTGGTAGCCGTTGCACTGAAATAGCACAAAATTCTGAATTATTTGCAGTAACGGTTGAGATTCATCCAAAGAAAAGGACGGCTAACTTGGTGAAGAAGTTTTCTTTCGGAAAAGGTGAGAAATGCGTAATTATCCAAAAAGCCACCAAAAAGAACAACCCACTTCTATGTGTGCATGCAGTGATGAGGGTGTTCTGGGAACCTCTGCCCACAATGCAGCATTACAACAGATGATCCTTATTAGTCATTAACTGCAATAAATTTTAATCTTTTCTTTAACAGGAAAAGTAACCAGCAGAAATGAAGCCGTGTATGAAAATGAGGGTAAACAGACATTCCTTTTGCACAATGCAAATTTGAGATTATGGCTTAATTTCACTGTCCAAATGTATCCCCTTATCATTAATTATATTTAAACAGCATGTTTAACACAACTGTAGTTGACCAAAGTGCTGTACAATTTATGAAAATATTAATTACAGGCTATGTCAATGACCAGAATGGAACCAAAGTGAGCAATGCAATACTACTTGGTAAGTATTTGCTGTGTATGTCTATAAAATTGCCTATTATAGATTATATTTGATGATTCATAGCTATTTTTTCACACTTTAGCTTATCCATGGGATGGGTCTACGCTTAAGTCAATGCGGATTGATTTAAATCAGTTTAAACAGCTCGATGCTTATGCAAGTGAGGTAAGTGTCATGTGACATGAAGAAGCGGCATTTAAGAGTGATAAATGCCGTAATAAAAGCATTTGGCGGCACTTCTCTTGGTTTGAAGGTGAGGGCCAGCAGCAGTGTGGAGGTTCTGGTCCGGGATCTGCTCAGAGGCACCAGCAGTGATGTTGAGAAGCTGAGGGCGATTTGGGTTTGGGTGACGCACCACATCGGTGAGCGGGCGGTCTCTGGAGGCGTATACTTCTACGTGTGAAATAGACGGGACAGCCGGAGTGTGAAAGCGGAGCCGTTCTGCTGACGTTCGCCTTTGCAGCGTATGACATGGAAGGCTACCGGAACCCCAATCTGAGGTCGGCGTCCCCGGATGACGTCTTACGGACAGGGAGGGCCGTGTGTGCGGGATACTCCAGTCTGGTTCAACGGATGTGCAGGTACTGGCCACCCAGCTCGGGAAAATGAGCAGCTAATTAAAAACCCTACCGGAAGCTGTAATCAGTCGATGGGTTTTTACATTTAAGGTCACACCTTGAGTAAATCTTCCTACTCAGTATTGGTATGTCTGCCTATCTATGCATCACTCAGTGTCTCCCGGTGCCACTATGGCGGTAATTATCATTGCATCACACATTGTACTCAAGTACATGGCTGGGTATCAATGCAGAACACATTCTGTACTCAGATATTTCCCTTTTGTTGTCTGTCACTTACCCACTTGGTCCACAAGGGGGCAGACGTTAGCATCGAACACATCTACAGCTGCAGCGAAAATATTGAAAACGTATAGATTCCCTACAGGACAAATTAATTTCAAACTAGCTAGATCTAAAAGCTTTGACAAGGTATATGTTCTCCCTAAAGTAGTGATTAATGATTGCTTCATCCACATTATGTTTAATCACTCAAAACGTATAAGACCATCCCTTTAGACATAGTAAATGATTAATTGGCCTATTTGCAAAAGCACTAATCAATTCTCCTTTTATTATATAGAAATTATTATTATTAACAAAATGATAGAATTCAGACCCGTGTCATTAAAAATTATGTTTTTGAAAAAGTCCAATTCTTAAAATTCTTGGTTTTGAATTTCCTTAGTGCTAAATGCTATGTGATTTGCGTCACTGTCATTGAGCCCAGGATCCATCCAACTTTGTTCACTGGTCCACCTTCATGGGGACCCTGTAGCCCATTACTGATGTCGTAAAACTTGCGTGATGTCGCTCAGTCTTGCAGGTATAGAGTGTAAGGAGCTGTCTGGGTATTCCAAGGGTGCTGGCTACAAGCTGGGAAACCGATTCCGTGGGGAGTCGGATCATGCCTGGAACGCTGTCCGACTGGCTGGGAGTTGGCACCTTCTGGACGCTACCTGGGGAGCTGGTCATGTGACTGATAATGTTTCTCAGTTTGAATTCAAGTGAGCACAATTTTGAGCACTTTTTTGCATTGTGGAAGACAATAAATTGAGTTATGTTTTTCAAGACCAGACAAAGGCATCATATTTTTATATCAAAAATAACGATATAACCGGCACTGCAATTGACATGGTAATCACACTAACAAGCAGAGGCATACTTTTAGTTGAACTTTGTATCAGAACTCAGTTGCAGTGAAATGAATGCAGTCTGAGGTCTTGGTGCTGCTGTTCAGGGTCTTTCTCATTTTGCATTTAGATATAATGAGTTCTACTTCTTGACTCACCCTGCCCTTTTCGTGGGAGATCATTTCCCGCTGGAGGGTCAGTGGCAGCTCCTGAGACCACAGATCTCGCTTAAGCAGTTTGAGGATGCCGCTTTCCGGAAAAGCTGCTTTTATAATTCTGGCCTCCTGTCTTCGCAACCAGAGTCTTGGCTCATCCATTCAGGTCCGTTCTTTCCATAATGAGTCATTACGTCAAAACATTTGAATCATTCTGTGATTCCGGATGTGTTTTGAGTGACTTCAGTGCTGCTTTCACGATCATAGATGGAACGTTTGTGCTAAGGAATATAATGTGTATAATGTGTTCACTACTGAATTACGTTCCATTTGCCTCCCTTTCTCCCTTGTAATACAGATCAAAAGACAACCATCACCATAAAGAGTTCATCACCTACGCTCTTCATGCAAACGCTCAACGACAAAGAGAACCATGGCATCTTAACCCTGAAGCCAGACGGAATGATGCTGGATGTCTATCCCCCAGAAATCGGAAAACATTCCTTGAAAATCTATTGCAGGGACCCAGATTCTACAGAAAAGATGTACAACTCAGCGTTGCATTATGAGATCCAGTGCAAGGCCGTCGACCGGGGGCTGAACTTGCCTGAAGATCTGAAAAACCCCATGGGGCCCAGCTGGATGTCTGAGCAGAGCGGCCTCTGTGACCCCTCCCAGCGTGACTCTCTGGTCCACACCGCTGACGGTCGCTGCTCCTTCAGCTTCCGTGTGGACAGTCACTGGGAGTTCCTCAGCATGCTGAGCACAGAGGTCTTTCGCATGACAGATGATGAGCAACGCAGGCACACATTCATGTCTAGAACTGTGGACCGTGTTAAATTCCAAGTGCAGATACCAAGACCTGGGCTATATCAGCTCTGTATCTATGGCAAAGAGAGAACAATGGCAGGCAGTTTCAGCAACGTCTGTAATTATCTGATCTCCTGCACCAACCCCAAAGTGAGCTGGCCGGTCTTCCCTTTGAAATACACTACCTGGCAGGAACACTATGAGCTGGTTGAGCCTCTTTCCGGTGTCCTCCCAGCCAACCGGACCATCCGGTTCAAGATGAGGGTCCCAGGGGTCTCCCAAGTGTCAGTGCAAGGGAAAGCCACACAGGATCTGTGCCTGGATACAGATGGATTCTGGAATGGTTGCTGCAGCACTGCGGGATGTCTGGATCTGTCAGTCATGATCAGAGAGAATCCTAATGACCTTACTCGCTCCTTTATACTTAACTATCAAGTGGGGGGTAAAAGTGACTAGCAACAGTAAAGTCTGCCTTGAATTTGATAGTTTCCTCAATAAAAAAAGAAAGTACCTTACATGTATGAAAGAAGATAGTGATTTCCCAAAAACCTTGAAACCACTTACTTGAAATTAAAGAAACATAATGAAAATGGTCTGTTGACTGTGACGTTTCTTTCATATGTAGGACTGTAGGATGTTGACTTTCATACACACCAAACATATTTTAGCGTTATTGTGGTTTCTTAAACCATAGGTATAATAATAATTAAAATATGTAATAACACGCCATTCAAAAAATTCTTGGCAGCGGTGGGATTCGAACCCACGCCCCCGAAGAGACTGGAGCCTTAATCCAGCGCCTTAGACCGCTCGGCCACGCTACCCTGAGTACTCCACATAGGAAATATTTTCAGCTGTCAACATGTTCTAAAAATGATTCTTTTTTATCGCGATTGTACGGGGTTCATATATTATATAAGAAAATGACTAACCAAGTTTTAACTTACCGACAAGATGTATAGTCGACAATAAATTGTATCACAATGCAGTACTGACTACATGCAAAACACGGCTAACCGAACTACCATACAGAGAAACCAATCCACAAGGATGTTTTTTATGTATATAAAGTTTGTATGTATGTGTTCATGCATATCCGTATGCATGTTATTTGCATTATATATTAGAAATAAATATTAGACAAGATTTGAGGCACATGCTGTTTGGTGAATTGTAATAATGATTTACAACCAGCAGATGGGGCACTCTCATTGTGTCTTTATGCACGTGAAGATGTCAATTGTGCCCTGTGATGGGCTGGCGCCTTGTCCAGGGTTGTTCCCTGCCTCGTGCCCATTGCTTCCGGGATAGGCTCCGGACCCCCCGCGACCCAGTAGGATAAGCCGGTTGGAAAATGGATGGATGGATGTCAATTATAAAAGAGGGACGTTTAATTATATAGTTATAATATATAGCTGAATTATTACTGAAAGATAAAATCACAATTAATTAAAAGTAAAATAATTTGTTCCTCCTGTTAATATTGTTTTTTTGTGTGTATGTTTTTTTTATACGTAATGTAATTCCCGGATTTTTTTACGTAGCCTAATTGCCGGAGAGTCATAAAAACCGGTATTATCAACAAACACACAGCTAACGTGGCGTCGTTAAGGCTCATCGGACTTTGCTCGACAATGATTCCCATTATGGTTGACAGGGGATTAATATGGGCTTCGTGATTGTCCTGGTGGGGGGGACCCCTTGAGAAGCTGGTGCACGGTAGGTTCTTACATTCAAAGCCAGATCCCTTCTGCATACTCTCCACCTTAGGGTGGAAACACATTGTCTAGGTGGCCCCAACATTTCTGTACCTTTCATTTTTGTACACTCATCGCTCCACAGTTTACAGGCGTCTACATTCGGGGCCACCTTAAATGCACCTGGGTTTTAGTAGTAGAGGGAAAAAAGACTATTTTTACCATTGAGAGACAGCAAGAAAGAATAGTTAAGCCTGTCCCCAAGGCTGATAAAGGGCAGTACTTGTGGGCACCAGCCTCAGCTGAGTGTAGGAGAAGGAGCCTCAGCCTTCTATAGGTATTATAGTTATTGTCCTGCCATTGAGCGATAGTTGGGAGGCTTTGGGTGCAGCAAATTACCTCAGAGAAGAGAGATTAATGTCAGAAAATTACATGGTGCTGCACAGCGAGGAATGCAGACTCGGAGAACACGGTCAAGCGGACAGATAAGAGGCTTGGTGTGGGGAGGCTTCGCCGCGAAACGCTGTGAACGGTTTAGTTTTTCCTCGGTTACAAACCAGGCTGGAAAATATACATGAGTGTAAATGTCTGGGCTAACCGTATTTGCTTATTGCTTACTTTTACAGTAAAGTATTATTCAGCTTTAAAATAAGATTTGATTGTTTGGTCTGAAGTGCTCTCTGCTTCTGGGTGCTGTCATGCATTTTTTTTAATGATATTTCTTAAGTCATAACAGAAGTACGTCATATTTAAGCAGAAATCTGGAGCCAGCGCCGTCACTGGGTTCATCCACTTTTTTCCATTGCTGTTTCGCCCTCATTAACACACACATTCCGTGTGAAATAGCTTGACCAGATTTTAGAAGTTCTAATAAAGCTCTGAGGGACGGAGGTTTTGGAATAGAGGAACGATGGGATTGATTTTGGCGTGAATGGGGGGAGAGTGGGTGGGATTAGTTGCTGGAGATTCCTCCCGTCCACGTGACGGGTTGATCGTGAGCTTACCTGCTCAGCCCAGACCCTGTCCCCGAGCAGAGAGGAAGCCCAGCAGCCGCGGATCTATTTCACGGCTCTCAGTGGAGCCAATCCATTCTGCTCCGTGTGACGTGGCCGGCTATGTGAAGACGGGAGGGGCGGGGTGGTGGGCCAGAGTGGGTCTCAAAGCTTGGCCCCAGCCCGGACCCCCCCCCGAGTCACCGGCAGCCCAGGTGTGCGGGGGGGATTCTAGAACTTTCCCTGCTTACCTTTAAAGGAGCAATGCCTTCCTCTTTTGCATCTCAGAGGCGTAATTATCTCACAATTAAGATAATTTTAGGATGACAGCTGGTGGGGAGAGAAGCAATTTTCACGCTTCCTAATCGAGTCTGGCTGTCAGATTAAGATAGAGGGTTGATTTGAGGGAAATTGTCTTGACTGACTCCTTGGAGCCGAGCCCAGGTGGCCCCAGGTAGCTCTGAGTCCGTTTTTTTCCCCTTGTGCCGCCCGGGAGGAAATTTGGTTTTAATTTGCCACACCACAGAGATCACACGAATGCCGGTCGGCCCGTCTGTCTTGGGGGATTGTCGATTTATTGCCAAAGCGGCTGCCTGGTGTCACTCCAGCCCCATCCGTCGGCTGTTGAGTTCCCTCCATCTTTCTCTCTGCCTGTCCCTCTTTAGCCCCCCCCCCCACGCGCCCCTTCACCATCTCATATCATGTTGTTATAGGGTGTGGTCCCACACACAAACCATAGCCGGCTCAGGTCTCTGGGTGGCTCTGGAGCTTCTACAAAACATCCAGCCTAGAATTAAAATGATGTCTATGCAATGATAATTGCAGCGGAAAGGCACTTAATGCCTCACTCTCCATTAGGGCCTGCCTGCAATGTGCTTTCTGCAAAACTGGCCTCATCTCTGGTGCCTACATCTTGTGTTATCTAATTTTAGTTAAATGGGAAAATGAGGGCTCACACTTTACCGGGTCTGGTACCACTTCTTCATTGTGACCAGTGACATGGAACTCCTCTCCAAGGTAATTTGAGCTCTACAGTGTGGCAGTAACTGCACACCAGTGAGATTCCTCCATCTGGCCACTAGATGGCAGTGACTGCACTCAGTGGACACAATCCCTCTCTTTTCCTGCTCAGTCCTATCACCTGGGTTGATGTCAATGTCTCACGCCTTACGCATTGACCGGGACCTGAAATAAGCAATAATTTACAGATGCTGCACACAAGGTAAAAAGGTCGACTTATTACCGATGGATAAAGGATGGTTTCAATGGATAATTTCACTGAAGCAGCCTGTACAGTGAATTACAGTCAAAGTTCAGTGTCCCTAATTGAAAGAGAAAATGTTCTGCGAGGAACCAACTTGGAAGTGTACCACTCACATAAGAGGCACCAACAAAAGGCATTTTAGTTATATCAGTTACTCGTGTGGCAATGACAGAGAGCTTTATTTGATGCGATGCCACTGTACAATAATGTCCTCATAAATAATGTTCCCAAGGTGATGCTGTAGTCAGTACCGCTGCGATCCGACTCGCCCCTTCAGCTATGTCAGTGAAATTATCTGGTGCCGATTTCTGAGCCACAGTCCATTTCTCTCATCCTTTCAGTGGCCGATGGAATATCTGTCTCTTGCGTTTTAGCTCGCAATGCAATGAATGGATTTTTTCAAGCTAAAATTTCAGTAGAAGAGTCACATTAATATGCAAGGACACATTAAGAGGGGCACGACTGAAAACGCCTGTGATGAAAGTGCTTTCTTCTGGCATGCACAGACGCCTAAAAACGTGCCCCAACATGACGCCTGATTTGTCTCCCTCCCTCTCTCTCCAGCCAGTGCGAGGAATGCAGACCTAGTGACACCCAGGCATCCGCTGTAGAGTCACCCACAAGTGCTCGGAGTCTACCTGCCTTCCCCCGAATTGCCACAGGTCAGAAAATCAAAGGGAAGTATTGGTCTGGAGAGTTTTGCTGACGTTTGCCTCTGCAGGGAAAAGTAAAGTAATTGGCAGCCACACTGGGCATCACCATCCGTCTGGGCGCTCGTGCTTGTAGGTGTTCACAAGGATTAGATGTAGGTTCCCTATTTCAGCTTTAATGCCTAAAATAGATCTTTAGGACTTGGGTCACTAGGCCATGCTGAGAGAATTTTTTGATGTTTTCAGCCTACTTTGTGTCAGTAGTGGTCAAAGCCCATTCGGCTCCCCTGACAAGCTTGACCGCTGGCGCCCCCTGTCTGAGACGAAGGGAAACTGACTGGCTAAGTTGGCGCCCCGTCAGAATGGGGCCCCTAGGCGGCTGCCTAGGTTGACTCAGCGATGCATTGGCTTAGCATACGTGTCTGTGCACATGCGCATAACATTTTGTTCAAGGCCACAGCTCTGTGTCAAGCGCCATCAGAAATTTCCGGAAGCCACGTGACCCCCCCCCCCCGCCCGCTTCTCATAGCTCTTCACCCCAACCCGCGGTACGCCGTGACGGCCGGGAGTCAACGAAGTGAACTTGCCACTCAGATATGGTTTTTGACCGCAAACCCCCAGCGTAGACCCAGAAGAATAAGATGTCTTCAATGAAGACGGTAGCAGTAAGAGATTTTAAGCTTCTCCAGTCACCTCAGATTAACATATGTGTTAAATAACCAGGGGTGAAAGGTCAGTGAGCCTAGATAGTGGCTCTGTGCAGATCCCTTATTAATACTGGCAGGATTAGTGTCAGTGCGGGCTGCTGTATTCTCTGAATTCAGGCTGGGTCAGAATGGAGCAAGCCCCTGTTTGTGCTCCCTTTCTTCTCAGCCTGTCTGTTCTGTGACCTCCCGTTGTCTGCCTCTCCTGTTCCTACTT